CAGCAGGAAATAAGGGGATGGGTAAAAAATATGTAAACATGTAATTTTCAAAATTTTATCCAAGTTTAGTGAGGCACACACAGGATTTTAGACTCAAGAAGTTCTATGTTTGCTTTTGATTCTGTTTGTGCCAATTAATTCTTGTGTTTGGAGTCCTTAACGTTCCATTTTGTCACCTGTTTTTGTGTTATCTCTTCCTTCTTATTTATATTATCTTATTTTTAATGGGCATTATTGCCTTTCATTGGTGGATATTTTATTTTAAAACTAATTTGTAGAGGGGCCGTGGCATGGTAGTTGAGGCACTGGGTTCCTTTGTGATTGCTCATGGTTCGAGTCTTAGGCCTGAAAGCCTGCTTTGTCACTTTCCACCTCTTCCTCTCTCTCCGTCACTCTATGTTGAGAATCTCTCTCTAGTCAAATTAAAATAAACAAATCAAGCTTAATGACATAATTCTTAAAAAAAAAAAAACTTTCTAGAAAAAATAATTTGTAGAGATAATTTAAAGACCCAGATATTTTCTCCTTTCAGAGGGGATTTTCATTTTTTCCTCCTAGGTGACTATAGAATTTCTTGTGCTGACCACCTGGTTTCAGACAATCACTCCATTATTGATATGCATTATATATGAATGGAGGCCAAAGAAGGAACACTTCACCAGTCCCACGGTACTCTGACATTTCCTCCAGCTCTGGGAATGCACCTGTGGTACAACTCTAACGTTCAGGTACCGCCTTTTCCAATGCTTCTGGGGATCAAGTGACCTGTGTGGATGATGTTGGTTCATTATATAGACACCTACAAGGTTTTATTTATCAGTCAAGCCTGTACTTTTTTTTTCAGTTTTTAGTGAACACTTATAATGACTTTATCTACCTAAAGATTGTATATATGACTTTATATGTTTTTTTTTAAAGTTTGAAGTTTCTTTTTAATTGACAAATACACATATTCATGGTGTAAAACATGATGTTTTCATACATGTATGCATTGGGGAATGGCTAAACAAAGCTAATTAATATATTCATTGCTTCATATTGTTAATTTCTATAGTGAGAACATTTAAAATCAAATCTAGTTGTTACACACTTGTTATTAACTCTGGTTTCCATGGTGTATAAGAAATGTGAACTTAATCCTTCTAACTGAAATTTTGTGTCCTTTGACCAATGTCCCCCCAATCTCTCACCCCTACTAGCAATCACCTGTCTAGTATATAGTGTCTGTTTCCAGGAGTTTGACATTTTTAGAGTTCTCATGCTTTAAAATATCCAGATGCATTTGTGACTAAACTTTTATTTGTATGTCTGGCCAACTAACACCAGAAAGCCTCTTGTGTTAATGGTTTTTCCTTAGCAATGGCATTTTAGTAACTGCAGTTACCTTAAGTCTTCTATGTCATTAGCATCTGATAGCCACTAAGAACATATTGTTTCCTTTCCCCTGGGATTCCTAGCCTAAGACCTTCTAGGGGGCATCTCTTTTTCTTCACTCATTCTTCCCCATTGACTTTTTGAAATACCATATTATAATTGCTATATCAGTTTTTGTAAAATCAGTGTATTCATCAAATAGATGTGTATAGTGAAGCAAAGGTCCTCTCTCAGTGACATTCCTCCCTTTACACACAGAGACAGCCTATATTCATCCTCACATCTCAGAGTTTACACTTTGTATTTCAGTACCGTAAACACACTATATAAACAAGTAGGGTATTTCACAAGTTCAGGGAAAAATGCAATAAAAGTATGAGTTTATTTTGATGCAAAAAATTTAGAAAGCCACACAGTTTTCCAAAAGACACATTTTCTACGAAGTTTTTGAAGATCCTTCATATATTACCTAAAACTGCATTGCAATTTTCAACTTTGTGGGAACTATAAAATCTTTATTCAGCCAATAATTTATTTAAACTTTGAGTACTGCAATTCTTTATTTGCCCAACTTTTTCTGTAACTCCAGATCTAGTCAACAATCTAAGCTTGGTTCAAAACATATTGACAGCTGGCCAATAGCACAGAGGTTGGGTGTTGTACAGAGGAAGCCAGATTCCGCATGGCCAACCACTGGGTGAATTCCAGCCCAGCAACTTGGAAACTATGTTTGTTCCCCATGGAATCCTGCAACACTGCTCGCCCAGCTGGCCTTTATTAAATATTAACCGAATGAATGAATGCATGGATTCTTAATTGACGATTACTTGGACTACTACAAAATCTGATTAATCCTTGTGGAGATTTTATTCTTCTCGCATGTATGCAGAATAATCCGAATTTAAAACTAAGTCTTAAAATTCAAAACAGTTTGTAAATGTGGGAAACATCTGGCAGAGAAATACCTCCAGCGTTGGCAGTGATGGAAGGAAAATTTTCTCTGAAGCAAGCAGCTAGCCTCTTTCTTGGTATCGTCAGAAAATGCTTGCCTATATTTGTTGGTTTGCACAAGAATTGGTAACATCTGACATTGAGAACACAGAACATTGTTCATCTTGAAGGGCCATAATAACTTGGGGGGTTGGGAGTAGGGGAGACAATGCACTAAGGAAATGAAGGCATTTTGGAGAAAGGACAGGTTGTTTAGGTCCCCTTTCAAATGGTTTCCTTGGCTCTTCAAGAGTGTTACTTCACAGACGCTTCCTAGAAAGTCCCCAGTGTGTCCTTACTAAATAAGCAGATTCCAAGAGATGTAGGAAAACAGGAAAACAGCAACAAAGTGCCTGTCTGACTCCCCTGGTCTGGGTTCACCCTGGCCCTGCAAAGTTGTGGCTACAGGGCGGGCTTCAGCAGCTTTCTGGAACGTCGTTCCGATCCCTTTAAAGGTGGGGATCATGACGGAGTACGCGGAGGAAGAAGGCGGGAGCGGAGGGCTGGAGTCTCGGTTGACATAGTAACTCTTCGGCTCGGTCTGGCTAGTTCTGCTCTCGGCTCTCAGGCTCCGCTGCCACCCGCGGCCCCAGCTGCGCTGTCTCTGCCCGGAGCCCTGACTGCCTTTTTGCCGGGTCCCCTCGGCCGGAAGCACTCAGGTCGAGGTCCCCTTTGAGCCAAGCTAAGTGCTGACTTCCCCGGAGCCAACAGGGGAGCCAGCCACTAGGAGCCCAGACCGCCTAGCGTCTATACCCTCTGCTCACGCTGGTCCCCTGGGTACCGGTCCGTCCAGGACCAGTTTGTCAGGTGACTGGGGTCCCATCGCACGGGGTCCGGGCTCCAAGTATCGCCGCGACTCCTTCGGGAGCGGAACCCACAGCAGTTGGGCTTTCCCGCCATGAACCAGAGCCCGGCATTCGGGACCCGGAGGGGCGGCTCTTCCCAAACCGCTGTCGGAGCCGGCGCAAGGCGCAACGAGAGCCAGGACTACCTGCTCATGGACTCGGAGCTGGGAGACGACTGCTGCCAGCCCCAGCTGCCTCCCTACGGCTAATCCACCCGCTCCTAAGAG